GATCCCACATGCTGCAGAGCAACTAAGCCGGTGCACCACAACTACTGAGCCTGCGCTCTAGAGCCCACGAGCCACAACTACTGAGCCCGTGTGCTACATCTACTGAAGCCTACGCGCCTAAAGCCTGTGCTCCGCAACAAAGATAAGCCACTGCAATGAGAAGCCCGCACATTACAACGAAGAGTAGTCCCCGCTCGCCGCGACTAGAGAAAGCCCACGTGCAGCAATGAAGACCCAACACAGCCAAAAATAAATAAACTTATAAAAAAAAAAGAGAGAGACTGTGAGTCCCTTGAAATAAAGCACCAGGTATAATTCATTTTTTATTCTGTGCCTCGTTACATTCAATTATTCACTCTTGAGGTCATACAATGTTCTAGTTACTGGGCAAGATCAGTCCCTGTCCTCAAGGAGCTCACAGTCAAGACGGGTGACCATGAATGACATCAGTGCTTGTAACACAGCATGATGGCAGCTCAGGGACAGTTCTGAAACGCATGGCTCTAGAGCCTGGGTTCAAATTCTGGTCCTGTCACTTCCTGACTAAGTTACTAGCATCTCCCTCATGGGACTGCTGTGGGGATGAAGTTAAAAGGTGAAGAGAGACCAGAAGAGTAACTGGCACATAGTGTTTAATACATGTTCGTTATAAATGTTAAGCTTTTATACATATATATGCATAACAGATACATACATACGCACACATACATATGCATAATAGGTATCCACTGCAAAGTGCCATGGGAGCCCAGGAGGTGGGAAAGCAAACTTGAGTCTGGCCAAGCTGCCGAGAGGAAGTGATCCCTAGGCCCAGTCTTTAAGAATGAGTAACACCCTCAACAAAGCAAAAAGACAACCTACTGAATGGGAGAAAATATTTGCAAATGATATGACTGATAAGGGGTTAATATGCAACATATATAAACAGGTCATACAACTCAACATCAGAAAAACAAATAACCTGATTTAAAAATGGGCAGAAGGGCTTCCCTGGTGGTGCAGTGGTTGAGAGTCCGCCTGCCGATGCAGGGTACACGGGTTCATGCCCCGGTCCGGGAAGATCCCACATGCCGCGGAGCGGCTGGGCCCGTGAGCCATGGCCGCTGAGCCTGCGCGTCCGGAGCCTGTGCTCCGCAACGGGAGAGGCCACAACAGTGAAAGGCCCGCGTACCGCAAAAAAAAAAAAAAAAATGGGCAGAAGACCCGAATAGACATTTTTCCAAACAGGACATGCAGATGGGCAACAGGCACTTGAAAAGGTGCTCAGCATCGTTAATCATCAGAGAAATGCAAATTAAAAACCACAATGAGATATCACCTCACACCTGTCAGAATGGCTGTCATCAAAAAGAACACAAATAGCAAATGCTGGCGAGGATGTGGAGAAAAGGAAACCCTCATACACTGTTGGTGGGAATGTAAAGTGGTGCAGCCACTGTAAGAAACAGTATGAAGGTTTCTCAAAAAACTAAAAATAGAACTACCATAGGACCCAGCAATTCCACTCCTGGGTTTATATCCAAAAAAACCCAAAGCACTAATTTGAAAAGATACACGTACCCCAATGTTCATAGCAGCACTATTTACAATTGCCAAGATACGGAAGCAACTTAAGCAACCATCAATATGAATGGATAAAGAAGATGTAGTACATATACAATGGAATACTACTCAGCCATAAAAAAGAATAAAATTCTGCCATTTGCAACAACATGGATGGACTTGGAGGACATTATGCTAAGTGAAATAAGTCAGACAGAGAGAGACAAATACTGTATGATATCACTTATTTGTAATCTAAAAAATACGACACACTAGTGAATGTAACGAAAAAAGAAACAGATTCACAGATATAGAGAACAAACTAGTTGTTACCAGTGGGGAGAGGGAAGGGGGGAGGGGATTAAGAGGTACAAACTATTATGTATAAAATAAGCTACAAGTATACATTGTACAACACAGGGAATATAGCCAATATTTTATAATAACTATCAATGGAGTATAAACTTTAAAAATTGTGAATCACTATTTTGTACACCTGTAAGATATAATATTGTACCTCAACTATACTTCCATCAAAAAAAAAAAAAAGAATGAGTGAGAGAGGGGTAGAGAAGCTGAAGCTCTAGCACATGCAAAAGCATGAGAAGGGAAAACTTCAGTCACTCTGTAGGGCTAGAGGGCCAAAGATCGATGCGCTGAAGAGACAGGCAGGAGCTGAACCCTGCAGGGCCCTGCTGATGAATTGGGATCTTTCCTGAGGATAGTGTGGGGCTATGGAAATTTTTCAAGCTGCAGCCAGCCACGAACGTTTTGGCACTATCTAAATCAGCCACATTTTTCATAGCATTAGCCAGCGACCATCAACTTTGTGATCATGATCCTGAGGCTGCTGAAGCACTGCCTAAGAAAGGCTCTGCTTACAGCATTGTAAATGAACTGTATTTCAATAAAAAATTTTTTAGGGCTTCCCTGGTGGCGCAGTGTTTGAGAATCTGCCTGCCGATGCAGGGGACACGGGTTTGAGCCCTGGTCTGGGAAGATCCCACATGCCGTGGAGCAACTAGGCCCGTGAGCCACAACTACTGAGCCTGCGCGTCTGGAGCCTGTGCTCCACAACAAGAGAGGCTGCAACAGTGAGAGGCCCGCGCACCGCGATGAAGAGTGGCCCCCGCTTGCTGCAACTAGAGAAAGCCCTTGCACAGAAATGAAGACCCAACACAGACAAAAAATAAATAAATTAATTAAAAAAAAAAAGCTTTAAAAAAAATTTTTTTTTTAAAAATAAAATTAAATAATAAGAAAGGCTCTGTTCAGTGTTATCTACTTCTAGGGCCAAGGATATTTTATTTTATCCTCATTCTTTGGGAAGTGATCAATCCTTTGTTGGAGGGACCCCTGTCTTTTCTCTTTTATCTCTGAAAGTGCCTAGAACAATACATGGGCACCTCAGATTTGTCCAACCAGTAGCAAGTGATGAACTCACATAATACACATTGCATATTGGTAACTTCTAGTTATTTAAGACCATCAACAAAAACATTCTGGTGGAAATGAGGGTGGGGACATAGACTTTATTGTATCAAGAGGTTAAAAGGACAATTGCCCGTAGCATGTTTGTCAGAAGATAAACTTCGGTGTAACGGAGAGCTGTTCATTTTTATAACAAAACCAATCATAAATCTCTTCTTTTTAGACCATGAAGTGGCAGAGGGTTATTTCTGACTTCCGGTAATACAAAGTAAAATTAGCAATGGAACTGTATCCCCTTTCATTTGGAGGGGCAAGTGGGAGTGAAAAGAAAGCGGTGAATCACATGGAGGAACGTGGTCTGGGGGATGTACTGGGGGGAACACAGATTCTGCCCAAAACAACAGTATCTTGACAGGCAGCCTTTGAACACAGGCTCACTGATTCATTCGTTCTTTCAGCAGCTCTTTACTGGGCCCCTCCAAACATGAGATGCTAAGTACACAATGGTGGGCAAAACAGACACTGTCTTTTTCTGTACTTCATGAAAATGACATTGAGGCAGGAGGAACAGGTTTTAAAGGAATAAGCACACTAAGAGGTATATAACAACAACTCATGATAAGAGCTATGAATGAGGAGAAGGAAGACCCACTTTAGGCTGGGTTGGGGCTGGGGAAGGTCCTCCTGAGGAAGAGTCAGAGAAGGATAAGTAGGAAAAAGCCAGGACAAGACTGATGGGGAAAGGAGTCCAGACAGGGGGAGGCTCCATGCCAGGCCTCAGGTGGGAAGAGCTGGGTGAACTCAAGGAACAGAAGGAAGGCAAGGTGGATGGCAGAGGGGCCAGCAAGGGGGCTGAGGCCAGAGAAGTAGAGACCAAAATTAGGCCAGGAAGAAAAGATGAGAAATGATGAGGGCCTTCCAGTGATCCACACTTCTCTCTTCCAACTCAGCACACTCCAGGAGTCCCAGTGGCATGTCAGGGAGCAATCGCAGCTGAGGTTGGGGTGAGTGATACAGGTAGTAAAAGCACCCAGCAGCTCCCCCTATGTGTAGAGGTTGGGAGTGGCAGGAACGGGGAGGACATGGACAAGGAACAACGGAAAGAGAACGCTTGGGAGCCATGTTGACCACGCTTTGACTCCAAGCTCCCAGTGTGGTCTTGCACAACCCAGTTGCCTAGTCCATAAAATGCAGGTAACAGTACTCACCCTGAAGAGCTGTAGGAAGGATTGCATAAGGATGGGCAAAATGGGTGAAGGGGGTCAAAGGGGCAAAATTCCAATTATAAAATAAGTTAAGTCACAGGGATGTAATGCACAGCACGGCAACTATAGTTACTAATACTATATTTCATATTTGAAAGTTGCTAAGAAAGTAGATTTTAAAAGTGCTCACCCTGGGCTTCCCTGGTGGCGCAGTGGTTGAGAGTCTGCCTGCCGATGCAGGGGACACGGGTTCGTGCCCCGGTCCGGGAAGATTCCACATGCCGCGGAGCGGCTAGGCCCGTGAGCCATGGCCGCTGAGCCTGCGCGTCCGGAGCCTGTGCTCCGCAACGGGAGAAGCCGCCAACAGTGAGAGGCCTGCGTACCGAAAATAAAAACGAGAAAGTCCTCATCCCAAGGCTGGGGGGCTGACTTTTTTTGATAACTACATATAGTGAAAAATGTGAACTAGACATATTGTGTGATCATTTTGCAATGTATACAAATATCGAATTGTTATGTATACAAATATCGAATATAATGTTATATGTCAATTACACCTCAAAAAAAGAAAAAACAGGCTGCAGGATGTAGCCTCCTGGCCCAGGGAGGGTGTTCAATAAATAGCTGTCGCTGTTTTTGTTGGGAAGAAAGGAGTTATTTGAAAGGCAAAAGAATCTACCAGGTGTCAGGACAAGACCTGGAGGTGGGGTGGGAGATTCTAGCAACAGCCGGGTTTCAGCTTGGGCACTTGGGCATAGGTGTGAGGCCACCATCAGAGACAGCAGGATGGGGGATGGGGTGCACTTGCTGAGTGACTCACGTGAGGAAGCGAGGGGCGGTGCGCCGCTGGGGCCGGAGCAAAAGGAAGAAAGAGGCAGAGGGAAGCTCACCGAGCACAGGCGAGGTCCCGGGAGCGAGCGCGGTAAGGGGACCACGGGCCCCGGGGTGGTCGCCAGGGACGGGCGCGGGCGCCGGGGAGGCGGGAGCATCCGGGCTACAGCGGCGGCCGCGCGGGGAGGCGAGCTCTGCTGGGCGGGCGTCTGAGACGCGGCCTCTGAGGCGATTCTCAGCCCCGCGTATGAGCCCGCCTGGGGGGGGGCGGGGCGGTGACAGCGGAAGGGATGGCGAGAGGGGATGGCCTCCTCTGCCCGCATTACTTCTGGGGTCCTCAGGACGGAGGTACTTGGCCTAGCATCGCCTCTTCCAACCGCTCCTCGCTGGCCCGGGCTCCAGCCGCGACCCTGGGATGGCGGCGGATTCCTGCAGGCTGATCCCGGCCCCCCCGCCTCAAAAAAATATCCCCGCCGGCGCTCCCCTACCAGAAAGTGCAGTGACCCCCCTGTGCCTGTGGGGCCGATCACACGCCCCCACCCCCATCCTGCTGAGCGCCTCCCTCCCACTGCCCACCTGTCAGCACTCCTGCCGCCGCCAACAACGGAGGAAGCAGAGGGACCCCAAACCAGACCTGGGCATGGGGTGAGGGCTGCACCCGGAAGGCGAGACCCTGAGAAGGCCTGCTTAGATGTGGACCAGTGACTAATTGGGTGTGAGGGGACTTGACCACCAAAGCTGTGTTGTGGTATCTTTGCTTCCAGATTTGAGGCAATGGCCTAACTAGGCAAAGATACTCTAATTTGGCCTTAGGTCAGCAAACACTTCCTGGAGGTCCTCAAGAAATAGAGCGCCCGGAGCTTTGACAGCTGCCCTTTACTGCTCACACACTCACTGTGTGCTTGTGCTGAGCTAATGCTTATGGACCTCATCCCTCTTCTTTGCAACAGCCCATCAAGGTCCATCACCTGCACTTAGCAGGTGAGAAAGCTGAGGCACAGGCACTTTAAGTCACTTGCCCCAAAGCAAGGGCTAGCAAAGAGTAGAGTCAGGATCTGAAAGCAGGTCTTTCTACCCTAGGGCATCACGCTGCCTCTACAGTAACATTAGGTGCTGAAAGTGAAACTTAGTACAAGTACGGGTCCCCTTGGCTTGTATTTCTGGCAGCTTAGTAGGAAACAGAATTGTGTATGATGAGAGGTTCATTTTGCATGGAAATCAGTGGTTGTCATGGAGTGCGGATCTGCAGAGTGCATTGGCCATTGGCGGGGCAGGTGGTGCGGTAGCGCGTGGTCCCCCTGGACTATGCCCATTGTTGCGAAATCACTTTTCTCAGCCATGTGACACCAATGATTCACAATCCTCCTTCAGAAACTCCCTCTCCTTTGTATCAGCTATTCTTTCTCAGTCATCTCCTTGGCTTTTTTTTTTTTTTCCCTCTTGTTGGTATTCCCTTGGCCTCAGTGTTCACATTTTCCAGTACTCGTTTTAGACAATTTTATTGATGTTTCCTACTTTACCTATCATCTCAATGATGGCAACTCCCAAACTGATCTTTCTAGACTACCCCTAATCTGTTAACTCCAGACCCAAATCCTCAAATATTCTAATCCCTACTGGCTAATTGCAATGTATGCCCACAAGGCACCCAAATCCAATATTTCCAGATACAAATTTATCATCTCTAGCCTTCCCACAAGGGTCTTGGTTCAGGTCTCTTCACATCCTTGCCTGGGATACTATAGCACCTTCCAAATTGGTCTTCCTGCCCTCTTTTTTTTTTTTTTTTTTTAGCATCATTATTGGAGTATAATTGCTTTACAATGGTGTGTTAGTTTCCACGTTATAGCAAAGTGAATCAGCTATACGTATACATATATCCCCATATCTCTTCCCTCCTGCATCTCCCTCCCTCCCACCCTCCCTATCCCACCCTTCTACCTGGTCACAAAGCACTGAGCTGACCTCCCTGTGCTATGTGGCTGCTTCCCACTAGCTATCTATTTTACATTTGGTAGTGTAGATATGTCCATGCCACTCTCACACTTCGTCCCAGCTTACCCTTCCCCCTCCCCGTGTCCTCAAGTCCATTCTCTGTGTCTACGTCTTTATTCCTGTCCTGCCCCTAGGTTCTTCAGAACCTTTTTTTTTTTTAGAGTCCATATACATGTGTTAGCATACGGTATTTGTTTTTCTCTTTCTGACTTACTTCACTCTGTATGACAAACTATATCCATCCACCTCACTACAAATAACTCAATTTCGTTTCTTTTTATGGCTGAGTAATATTCCATTGTATATATGTGCCACATCTTCTTTATCCATTCATCTGTCGATGGACACTTAGGTTGCTTCCATGTCCTGGCTATCGTGAAGAGAGCTGCAATGAATATTGTGGTACATGACTCTTTTTGAATTATGGTTTTCTCAGGGTATATGCCCAGTAGTGGGATTGCTGGGTCGTATGGTAGTTCTATTTTTAGTTTTTTAAGGAACCTTCTTACTGTTCTCCATAGTGGCTGTATCAATTTACATTCCCACCAACAGTGCTAGAGGGTTCACTTTTCTCCACATCCTCTCCACCATTTATTGTTTGTAGATGTTTTGATGATGGCCATTCTGACTGGTGTGAGGTGATACCTCATTGTACTTTTGATTTGCATTTCTCTAGTGATTAGTGATGTTGAGCATTCTTTCATGTGTTTGTTGGCAATCTGTATATCTTCTTTGGAGAAATGTCTATTTAGGTCTTCTGCCCATTTTTGGATTGGGTTGTTTTTTTTGATACCCAGCTGCATGAGCTGTTTGTATATTTTGAAGTTTAATCCTTTGTCAGTTGCTTCGCTTGCAAATATTTTCTCCCATTCTGTGGGTTGTCTTTTCGTCTTGTTTATGGTTTCCTTTGCTGTGAAAAAGCTTTTAAGTTCCATTAGGTCCCATTTGTTTATTTTTGTTTTTATTTCCATTTCTCTAGGAGGCGGGTCAAAAAGGATCCTGCTGTGACTTATGTCATGGAGTGTTCTGCCTATGTTTTCCTCTAAGTTTTATAGTGTCTGGCCTTACATTTAGGTCTTTAATCCATTCTGAGTTCACTTTTGTGTATGGTGTTAGGGAGTGTTCTAATTTCATTCTTTTGCATGTAGCTGTCCAGTTATCCCAGCACCACTTATTGAAGAAGCTGTCTTTTCTCCATTGTATACTCTTGCCTCCTTTATCAAAGATAAGGTGACCGTATGTGCGTGGGTTTATCTCTGGGCTTTCTATCCTGTTCCATTGATCTATATTTCTGTTTTTGTGCCAGTACCATACTGTCTTGATTACTCTAGCTTTGTAGTATAGTCTGAAGTCCAGGAGGCTGATTCCTCCAGCTCTGTTTTTCTTTCTCAAGATTGCTTTGGCTATTCGGGGGTCTTTTGTGTTTCTGTACAAATTGTGAAATTTTTTGTTCTAGTTCTGTGGAAAATGCCATTGGTAGTTTGATAGGGATTGCATTGAATCTGTAGATTGCTTTAGGTAGTATAGTCATTTTCACAATGTTGATTCTTCCAATCCAAGAACATGGTATATCTCTTCATCTGTTAGTATCATATTTAATTTCTTTCATCAGTGTCTTATAGTTTTCTGCATACAGGTCTTTTGTCTCCTTAGGTAGGTTTATTCCTAGGTATTTTATTCTTTTTGTTGCAGTGGTAAATGGGAGTGTTTCCTTAATTTCTCTTTCAGATTTTTCATCATTAGTGTATAGGAATGCAAGCGATTTCTGTGCATTAATTTTGTATCCTGTACTTTACCAGATTCATTGATTAGCTCTAGAAGTTTTCTGGTAGCATCTTTAGGATTCTCTATGTATACTATCATGTCATTGGCAAACAGTGACAGCTTTACTTCTTCTTTTCCGATTTGGATTCCTTTTATTTCTTTTTCTTCTCTGATTGCTGTGGCTAAAACTTCCAAAACTGTGTTAAATAATAGTGGTGAGAGTGGGCAAACTTGTCTTGTTCCTGATCTTAGTGGAAATGATTTCAGTTTTTCACCATTGAGAACGATGTTGGCTGTGGGTTTGTCATATATGGCCTTTATTATGTTGAGGTAATTTCCCTCCATGCCTATTTTCTGGTTTGTTTTTTTTTTAATCATAAATGGGTGTTGAATTTTGTCAAAAGCTTTTTCTGCATCTATTGAGATGATCATACGGTTTTTCTCCTTCAATTTGTTATATGGTGTATCACATTGATTGATTTGCGTATATTGAAGAATCGTTGCATTCCTGGAATAAACCCCACTTGATCATGGTGTATGATCCTTTTAATGTGCTGTTGGATTCTGTTTGCTAGTATTTTTTTGAGGACTTTCGCATCTATGTTCATCAGTGATATTGGCCTGTAGTTTCTTTCTTTGTGACCTCTTTGTCTGGTTTTGGTATCAGGGTGATGGTGACCTCATAGAATGAGTTTGGGAGTGTTCCTCCCTCTGCTATATTTTGGAAGAGTTTGAGAAGGATAGGTGTTAGCTCTTCTCTAAATGTTTGATAGAATTCACCTGTGAAGCCATCTGGTCCTGGGCTTTTGTTTGTTGGAAGATTTTTAATCAAAATCTCAATTTCAGTGCTTGTGATTGGTCTGTTTATATTTTCTATTTCTTCCTGGTTCAGTCTCGAAAGGTTGTGCCTTTCTAAGACTGTGTCCATTTCTTCCAGGTTGTCTATTTTATTTGCATAGAGTTGCTTGGAGTAATCTCTCATGATCCTTTGTATTTCTGAAGTGTCAGTTGTTACTTCCTCTTTTTCATTTCTAATTCTATTGATTTGAGTCTTCTCCCTTTTTTTCTTGATGAGTCTGGCTAATGGTTTATCAATTTTGTTTATCTTCTCAAAGAACCATCTTGTAGTTTTATTGATCTTTGCTCTTGTTTCCTTCATTTCTTTTTCATTTATTTCTGATCTGATCTTTATGATTTCTTTCCTTCTGTTAACTTTGGGGTTTTTTTGTTCTTCTTTCTCTAATTGCTTTAGGTGTAAGGTTAGGTTGTTTATTTGAGATTTTTCTTGTTTCTTGAGGTAGGCTTGTATTGCTATAAACTTCCCTCTTAGAACTGCTCTTGCTGCATCCCGTAGGTTTTGGATCATCATGTTCTCATTGTCATTTGTTTCTAGGTATTTTTTTATTTCCTTTTTGATTTCTTCAGTGATCTCTTGTTTATTAAGTAGTGTATTGTTCAGCCTCCATGTGTTTGTATTTTTTACAGATTTTTTTCCTGTAATTGATATCTAGTCTCATAGCCTTGTGGTCGGAAAAGGTACTTCATATGATTTCAGTTTTCTTATATTTACCAAGGCTTGATTTGTGACCCAAGATATAATCTGTCCTGGAGAATGTTGCATGAGCACTTGAGAAGAAAGGGTATTCTGTTGTTTTTGGATGGAATGTCCTATAAATATCAATTAAGTCCATCTTGTTTAATGTATCATTTAAAGCTTGTGTTTCCTTATTTATTTTCATTTTGGATGATCTGTCCATTGGTGAGAGTGGGGTGTTAAAGTCCCCAACTATGATTGTGTTACTCTCAATTTCCCCTTTTATGGCTGTTAGCATTTGCCTTATATATTGAGGTGCTCCTATGTGGGATGCATAAATATTTACAGTTGTTGTATCTTCTTCTTGGATTAATCCCTTGATCATTATGTAGTGTCCTTCTTTGTCTCTTGTAATAGTCTTTATTTTAAAGTCTATTTTATCTGATATGAGGATTGCTACTCAGCTTTCTTTTGATTTCCATTTGCATGGAATATCTTTTTCCATTCCCTCACTTTCAGTCTGTATGTGTCCCTAGGTCTGAAGTGGGTCTCTCGTAGGCACCATAAATATGGCTCTTGTTTTTGTATCCATTCAACCAGTCTATGTCTTTTGGTTGGAGCATTTAATCCATTTACATTTAAGGTAGTTATCAATATGTATGTTCCTATTAGCATTTTCTTAATTGTTTTGGGTTTGTTACTGTAGGTCTTTTACTGTAAGTCTTGTGTTTCCTGCCTAGAGAAGTTCCTTTAGCATTTGTTGTAGAGCTGGTTTGGTGGTGCTGAATTCTCTTAGCTTTTGCTTGTCTGTAAAGGTTTTAATTTCTCCATTGAATCTGAATGAGATCTTTGCTGGGTAGAGTAATCTTGGCTGTAGGTTTTTCCCTTTCATCACTTTAAATATGTCCTGCCACTCCCTTCTGGCTTGTAGAGTTTCTGCTGAAACACCAGCTGTTAACTTTATGGGGATTCCCTTGTATGTTATTTGTTGTTTTTCCCTTGCTGCTTTTAATATTTTTTCTTTGTATTTAATTTTTGATAGTTTGATTAATCTGTGTCTTGGCGTGTTTCTCCTTGGATGTATCCTGTATGGGACTCTCTGTGCTTCCTGGACTTGATTGACTATTTTGGGAAGTTTTCAACTATAACCTCTTCAAGAATTTCTCAGTCCCTTTCTTTTTCTCTTCTTCTTCTGAGACCCCTATAATTCGAATGTTGTTGCATTTAATGGTGTCCCGGAGGTCTCTGAGACTGTCCTCAATTCATTTCATTCTTTTTTCGTTATTCTGCTCTGCAGTAGTTATTTCCACTATTTCATCTTCCAGCTCACTATCCATTTTCTGCCTCAGTTATTCTGCTATTGATTCCTTCTAGAGAATTTTTAATTTCATTTATTGTGCTGTTCATCATTGTTTGGTTGCTCTTTAGTTCTTCTGGGTCCTTGTTAAATGTTTCTTATATTTTCTCCATTCTATTTCCAACATTTTGGATCATCTTTACTATCACTACATTGAATTCTTTTTCAGGTGGAATGCCTATTTCCTCTTCATTTGTTTGTCCTCTTGGGTTTTTACCTTGCTCCTTCATCTGCTGTGTGTTTCTCTGTCTTCTCATTTTGCTTAACTTACTGTGTTTGAGGTCTCTGTTTTGCAGGCTGCAGGTTCGTAGTTCCTGTTTTTTGTGTCTGCCCGCAGTGGGTAAGTTTGGTTCAGTGGGTTGTGTAGGCTTCCTGGTGGAGGGGACTGGTGCCTGTGTTCTGGTGGATGAGGCAGGATCTTGTCTTTCTGGTGGGCCGGACCATGTCTGGTGGTGTGTTTTGGGGTGTCTGTGGCCTTATTATGATTTTAGGCAGTGACTCTTCTAATGGGTGGGGTTATGTTCCTGTCTTGCTAGTTGTTTGGCATAGGGCGTCCAGCACTGTAGTTTGCTGGTTGTTGAGTGGAGCTGGGTCAGCGTTGAGATGGAGATCTCGCGGAGAGCTTTCACCGTTTGATATTATGTGCAGCCTGGAGGTCTCTGGTGGACCAATGTCCCGAACTCAGCTCTCCCACTTCAGAGGCACAGGCCTGACACGCGGCCAGAGCACCGGTCAGCCACATGGCTCAGAACAAAAGGGAGAAAGAAAGAAAGATTGAAAGAGAGTAAGAAAGAAAGAAAGAATAAAATAATGTTATTAAAATAAAAAATAAAGAAAATTATTAAAAATTAAAAAGTAATTAAAAAGAAGAAAGAAGAGAGCAACCAAACCAAAGTGCAAATCCACCAACAATAACAAGCGTATACTATAAAAACAACAACAAACAAAAAAACGGACAGACAGAACCCTAGGACAAATGGTAAAAGCAAATCTATACAGACAAAATCACACAAAGAAGCATACACATACACACAAAAAGAGAAAAAGGAAAAAATATATATATTAAAAAAAAAGAGAGCAGCGAAATCAATAAACAAATCTTCCAGTGATAATGAACTCTAAATACTAAACTAAGATAAACATAAAATCAGAGACAAATTAGATGCAAAAAGCAAACCCCAAGTCTACAGTTGCCCCCAAAGTCCACCTTCTCAATTTAGGATGATTCATTATCTATTCAGGTATTCCAGAGATGCAGGGTACATCAAGTTGATTGTGGAGATTTAATCCACTGCTTCTGAGGCTGCTGGGAGAGATTTCCCTTTCTCTTCTTTGTTTGCACAGCTCCTGGGGTTCAGCTTTGGATTTGGCCCCGCCTCTGCATGCAGGTCGCCTGAGGGCATCTGTTCTTGGCTCAGACAAGATGGGGTTAAAGTAGCAGCTGATTCGCGGGCTCTGGCTCACTCAGGCTGGCGGGGAGGGAGGGGTACGGAATGCAGGGTGAGCCTCTTGTAGCAGAGGCCGGCGTGACGTTCCAGTAGCCCCACAGACCCTCTTGAAAGCTCAGGAATCTTGGTCTTTGGTGTCTTCAGACCTGACCAGAGAGAACAAGCCTTTCTTCCTTAGCACCGTGTGCATGCCTCTAGGGAAGCCCTTTGCATGTTGTGTAACTGCTGACTTGTCTGTCTTCCCCTGTAAGTTCCTTTAGCACTGATTTTGTCTTATCCTTTGTATCCCTTGGCCTGGCACATAATAGACAGTAAATATTTGTGTAGCTAATGACCTTGTTATGAATTGAAATTTTTTGATGACAGTTTATAGTTCATAAAACATTTCACGGTGCCTCAGGTGACATCTCACTCCACTCTTCCTCTGATCTGTCACCATTAGTCAGTTAATGTGTGTGTGTTGGTAGAGGAGGAGCATTAGAAAGTGAGTTTGCAGGTGGCTGGAGATGAAGGTGAATGACAAAATGAAAATAAGTTCGCCAAATAGGGGAGTTGATCCTAAGGGTGTTTTTACGGTTGACATAAATGTCAGTCACGGCATGGTGACTCTCTTCTACTTTCCTTAGACATCGGGTCAAATGAGGAAGCTGAGTCCACTCAACTAGAAGAGAAGCAAAGACAAAGTCATCATGGCTTCAGTGTCTACGCATGAACACCAAGATAAAGGTCCCCATTTGCCACCACCAAGCAAGCAGGTATATTTCTAATTTGAAAGTCTGCCATCGAAAGAGGAACATCATACAGGACTTCCCTTAAACCTCATCCTTGATCAGTCATCTTAGTTTTTTCTGTCTGGCGCTTTGTAGGATGGGTTCAGGGAAAATAGAATGGGGAAGGAAAGTGTGTTTTTGGCTGCCTTGAAAAGGAGCCTTTTCAATTATTTACAAAATCCTTTCTTTACTCTTCCCTGTGTAGAATTCAGCTTAACTAACTCTTCCATAGGTTGTCAGTGACTGAAGAGGTTTCCTTTACCAGAACAAAACTCTTAATGGAATCTCACAGAATGCTACAGGATGCATGTTTTTTCATTTCTGTTATCAAGGCTAATCATACTAAGGCTATGCTGCTGACAGGTGTTCCTGTTTGGGATGGCAGAGTCCTTAACTACTAAATTAGGCATCAGATTGAGAACCCCAGTGTTAACAGGGACACAGTTTTTCAACTTCTTGAGAATGAATACTGTTTGTTTCGGGGACACATAAGTGAAGAAAAGAGAAAGTATTGTGATGGGATAGTAGAGTTCATGTTCTCTGGAGTCAACCTTTTCAAGCTAAAAATGGGTTATGGAGGAGATGATATTTAAGGAGCAAAGTTTAGGAGAGGCAAATAGACAAATGATATCACATCATAAGGAATTTAGACACCCAAGTTGCCTTTGTGAAATGGAGATCCGTAAAACATTTATGGTTCTACCGAAAAGGATCACCAGAGCTCCCTGGTGACACTGCAGCAGCTTCAGTCTTGACTGCAGGACTCACAGCAGTTGTGATAGTTGGGGTCCCTGCCCATGGATGTGTGTATGTGTGTGTGTTTCGTGGGAGGAGAGGGAGGGAGGTGTTGCTTATTTCTGCCGCAGCCACAGGCAGAACCAAGAAGAAGTATTTGCACTGGGATGAGGAAGAGTGCTTGCTGAGCTAACGTAAGTGGTGACCAGATTCTTCCCTGGTCACTGTGACTCACCCTGACCACCACTAACGTGTGCTGTGCTATGGGGAGTTGTAGAGGAAGAAGAGGTAGGTTGCCTGCTTGGGCTGTTTGTAGAGCTCTGAAGGCACAGGTGCCACAGGATCCTTGCATGTCACCATCATGCACGTAAAGTGCTTGGCACAGTGCCTGGCCTGTGTGCGAGTGCTCAGGGAATAGTGATCACCATTCACATTGACATCTACTACAAACAAAGAGTCAAAAAAGAACATTTGCAAAATCAGCAAGGTGAACTTCAAAAGCCATGGAACTGCACCTCAACAAGAAAAACACTAAAACTCCAAGAGATGAATGGCAGAGGACCTACATAAGTAATTCACAAACAAAGAAATAGCAGTGTGACTTAAGGAAAAAATTAAATAAAATTTGTTTCTAAGAAACAAATGAACCACCCACAGAACGGGAAAAATTATTTACAAATCATATATCTGAAAAGGGTCTAGTATCCAGAGTATATAAAAAGCTCTTACAACTCAATAACAAAAAGACAGCCCAATTGAAAAATGAGCAAAGGGCTTGAATAGGTGTTTCTCCGAAGAAGATATATAAATAGCCAATATTCAGATGAAAAGATGCTCAATGTCATTAGTCATGAAGGAAATACAAATCAAAACCACCATTTCACAATCACTAGCATGACCACAGTCAAAAACAGAAAGAATTTAGTTTATTTAGTTTAAATAAATTGAATAATTTATATTAAAAGCATTTAAAGTGCTAATTTAAAAAAAAGAAACAAAACACGTGGGTTCAGTCCTTGGTCAGGGAACTAAGATCCTGTAAGCCGGATGGCGGAGCCAAAAAAAAGAAACAAAACAGAAAATAACAAATGTTGACAAGGATGTGGAAAAATTGGAAATCTCCTACATTGTTGGTGGGATTAGAAAATGGTGCAGCTCCTGTGCAAAACTCAAAAAGTTAAACGTAGAGTTGCAGTATGGCCCAGCAGAGCTGAAAACAAAAACTTGTGCAGGAATGTTCATAGCAGCATTATTCACAATAGCCAATGGTGGAAACAATCCAAATGTCCATCAGTGGATGAATGGAGACACAAAATGTGTTATATTCATACAATGGAATATTATTGAGCCATAAAAAGAAATGAAATACAGATACATGTTACCACGTGGGTGAATCTTGAAAACATTATGCAAAGGAAAAGAAGCCAGCCACGAAAGGTCACATGCTGTATGATATTGTTTGTACCAAATACCCAGAATAGGCAAATCCAAAAGGCAGATTAGTGGTTGCTAGGCAGTTGGAGCGAGGAGGGAATGAGGACAGACTCCTTACTGGGTATGGAATTTCCTTTTGGGGTGATGAAAAAGCTCTGGAACTAGATAGCGGTGATGGCTGCACACATCGTAGATATACTGAATGCCATGAATTGTATACTTTAAAATGGTTAAACACAACATTGTAAAACAACTATGTTCCAATATAAAATGAAAAAAAAATAAAGTGTATGAGAGGATGAAAAAATGTATAAAATGGTAACTATTATGTTATGTGTATTTTACCACAATAAAAAATTAATGAGTCACTGAACAAGAAAAGATTACAACAGAGGTCTAGTTGCAGGGATTGCCTCAACAGAGAAGGACAGTCTGGCTGAAGACTACATAGAGATGCTCAAACACATTAGTTATCAGACAATAAAATATTGCTTTATACCTATTAGACTGTTAAAGTTTAGAAAACTGGATAATGCCAAGTGTTACAAAATCCTTTCTTTACTCTAACCTGCTTGGAATCCAGCTTAACTAGCTCTTATGCGGTTCTTAGGCATATAGAGGAACGTTCACACGCTGCTGATGGGAGTGGATGCTGGTGTAGCCATTGGGGAGAGCACTCTCGCAAGACTTTGTTCAACTGGAATATGCATGCCCTGTATTTTACTTCTAGATACATATCTGAAAAGCGTTCTCATGTGGGTCTGTAAGGGGACATTTGGAGACGGGGACTCAGAAGCGTCCTGGAGAATCATGCCGCAGTTAGAAACAGTGGACTAGATAAATATAGCAACATGGATAGATCTTAAAAGTGTAGAACTGAGTTGAAAACATTATTAATAATAAAACTAAATGTATAAAACAATGCCATTTGCATTAAAAACTGCAGGCACCCAAAACAATGAACATTTTGCAAGCATATATACAAACAAAAGATCCACATTAAACACCCAGGATGGCGGTGATGGGCAGAGAACGAGGATGGAGAATGTGGGTGAGAGTAAGTGAATAACCACATACATACCTACAAGAGGGGAGGATAATAAAAGATGGGAGTTAGTCCAGATCGTAGCACATCAACATGATAAAAAAAAGTACTGTAGAACTCATAAAAATAATGTCAACCATATCAATAGTTCCCCCAGATATTATGTGCAGACCATTTATAAATGTGTTTAAAAAAAACTGTTAAGATAAAAAGTAAAGTATGTAGAAAAATAAAAAGCAGTCTGCTGATGCTTTTTAGACTATAGTTTCTCACGGTCTAAAAATGCTTATAGAAGTATAAATAGGTAAATTGGAATACAGATCTATAAATAGATAACTTGTAATACTGCTCTGAGTGAGATCCCAGATGTGTAAATATTATGCTGTAGGGGAAGTCTCTCTCTTCACCCAGGAGGAGATCTTGAACTGGGTCTTAAGAAGACCAGGTAGGCAAAGGGAGTGAGTGTCATTGCAGGGACAGGGACTGCATAGACAGAGACTGGACGTAAGAAAGAAAATGTGACCTCAGCAGTAGTGCATTCTGACCAGGTATCTGCTTCATGCTCACTAGTCACTGAATCACTCTGCTTCTCCACCTGTGATTCTTTTCTTGGTTAAGTCCATCCATCGTTCACAGCTGGAAAGCACTGGCTGAAACTGGCCATTGCACAGTGCTGGCAGCGGGAAAGAACGCACGCTGTGTGACCAGAGTGAAAAGACCTCCTTGCCCTCCTCTAGGGAAGACAGAGCAGATGCTCTTCTGATGATTTCAGTCACGTCATCACGTAACTTTCCTTGCAGAGTCTGTTGTTTTGTCCAAAATCAAAACTGCACATCCACAAATCAGAGATTTCAAAGATTATCCGGGAATGTCAAGAAGAAAGTTTCTGGAAGAGAGGTAATTGCATCCCTCTTAATCTTTGTTAATACTGTTTTTGCTGCAATAAACTGCCTAATATCGTATTAGAATTATGGTATTGATTTATTTTTGAGCAGGGACTTTGCATAATTCCCTGAAGACACTGATACCTGAGGCTGCTTGGAATTTAAGTCCATATTGAGACCCTTTTAAGGTCAGGGATAATATCTGATTTAGGAGCTGTTTACCCCCCTTAGCAAAAAGTGATGCACACCTAACACTTTCTTTCATGTGACCGAGAATGTGTACCAAGAGTGTTATTTAGAATTTCTTGAAAGAGTAGACTTTCCACAATTCCACTGAACTCTAACCTTCATCAAGTTCAGGTTCATTGCTCCCTCCCAGAGCCAAGCACACTGCTTCACATATAAAAAGTACCTATTAAATATTCGTGGAATGAATGAAGAGTGGCAGCATTCTGTTAATACTTCCCTTACAATGTCTTGAAGTAACCTTTTCTGCCAAGTCTCTTCCTCTTTCTGGGCCCGCTTTATATGAGACAAGGGTGTGAACTGAGGCTGTGCATTAAAGTCCCGTTTAATTTTAAAAATTCGTGACTTGTCACTTGAAAATGTCATAATAGAGCCTATAGATATAGTCCCAATATTGCTGGCATAGGGATAATTTTACTTTGAAATACTCATTTTGATTTCTTAAATCATTCAAATCCAGTATCAGTTGTTTTTGGAAGTAACACTCCTTAGAAGTTGATGTTCACTGTTCATTACTTCTTATTGATTGTGCTGCTAGAAATTTTCTGACAACTTATGAGTGAGTAATTTATTTAAGCCCTAGTAGTTTAACATTTCAGTATGGCCCATTTGCCTACCATCAGGTAGATAGCTCTGAGTGGAAAAATTCGTTGCTACTTGATTTGTCTTGGTTACTAGGAAGAGCTAGCAACCAGGACAAATCAAATAGCAACCGATTTTTTTTTATCACTTCTCTGTGCTTTGGGAAGAAGTCATTTGACACATTTTGACAGAACTAGAAACTTCCTTTTCTGGACTCACTTGCCTGTTTAGAGATAAAAATCATCTCTAAACATGGCCCATGTTTACCTCGAATGTAGTAATCTTCAGAAAATAAACGTATCCAAATTGTGTGACAAAATGTCATAAAAGAGAAAAGCAGGGAACTATAGTAGATAGGGTGTGCAGTTTATCGTCCTCTTTTTTTAACTTTCATGCAGGATTGAAAATTTCAAAATATATAGCGAATGGAAACTCCCAAATTCCCCAGCTCAGCGCACACACATGAAGATGCCTGTGTTGTATGTAGTGATCCGAATCCGGTGCATGGTGGGTCTCAGAGACGGAGTGGCAGGGGATCTAGGTTTTGTCACATTAATGCTGTGCATTAGGTTGAGTGCCTGGGGCAGACCCCAAGAAAATTCTCCATGCGGTGCTTAATATTTGTCAAATTAGTAAAATAAAAAATGACTAAAATCTCACTGCCAAAGCAGGAAGAGAAAACACTCAGAGTAATTCTCCCTCATTCTTCTAGGTGAGGGGCCAAGTTTTAAAATACCAATATTGAAGGGCGTTTCTGTTTTACAGCTCTGCCTTTTTCTCTTGTAAGCATGCTTGTCACCCAAGGACTGGTCCACCATGGTAAGATTCAGTATTTGGTACATAGTTTAACTTAAGAGAATCCAGTTTTCTGGGGTCCTCCTGGCGGGTTTTGGTACTTGGCATTTATTTTTTGGTGAAGAATTTATTTATGCGGGCTTTTGCCTGTTTCTAGCCTACGTCCCCAGCTCTCCCTCCCATAGATGTCCTATTTCCCGGAATGAGTGACCATGACAAAGAGAAATTAAATTTGCAGTTGGAATTAAGGTCATTAATCCAGATGGGCCCAATATAATCAGAAGGGTCCTTGAAAGTGAGAGTGGATCAGAAGACAGAACCAGAGAGATGGCAGCATGAGAAAGACTCAGCTCAACATTCCTGAGTTTGAAGATGGAGGAAGGGGCCATGAGTCAAGCAATGAGTGGCCTCCAGAAGCTGGAAAGGAAGAAACCTTAGAGCCTTCAGAAGGGCTTGCAGCTCTGTTGATGCCTTGACGTAGCCCTGTACTATGGTCTGAATATTTGTATTCCCCCGCCCACCCCAAATTCACAGATTGGAATTCTAAAGCCCAAGGTGATGCTATTAGGAGGTGGGGCCTTTGCAGGTGATTAGGGCGTGAGGGTGGAGAGCTCATGAAGGCGGTTAGTGCTTTTACAAAAGAGACCCCACAGAGGGCCCTGCCCCTTCCACCACGTGAGGATACAATGAGAAGTCGACCATGCCAGCATTCTGATCTTGGACTTCCAGCATCCGGAACAGTGAGAAATAAATGTCTGCTGTTTTATAAGCCACCCAATCTGTGGTATTTTGTTATAGCAGCTCGAATGGACTAAAACACCCAGTGAGACCCATTTTGAGCTGCTGACCTCCAGAACTGTAACGTATTAAATTTGTGTGGGTTTTTTGGGGGGTTTTTTTGGCCGCGCTACATGAGGTCTTAGTTCCCTGACCAGGGATCAAACCCGTGCCCCCTGTAGTGGAAGCGTAGAGTCTTAACTACTGGTCTGCCAGGCAAGTCCCAAATCTGTGTTGTTTTAAACCACTGAGTTTGTAGTAATTTGTTACGGCAGCCCCAGGAAACTATTGCAGTGCCTGTCTCTGTACCAGAGTTCCTGTGTCTCCTAGGGCCTTGGTATATGGTTAGACAGATACTTCCCTGCACAAGGGTGCTCCAGGGAAGAAGTAAATGGGGCTGAAATTCACCCAAGCTCTGAACACCAAGCCATTTGTCCTGGAGAGAGGCTGCATCTGCCTCAGGAGGGGCACCCGTGTACAGCAGATCATGAGGACTGACGGCCGCCCTGCGTCACCCACATAACCTCTCCGTGCCTCTTAGCACTGTCCATTGTTCCCCTCTATTCCTTGTTCCTTGCCCTCTTTTTTCTCCCCGACTCTATCCAGCCAGAGAACCTATAAGCATTGCTTAGTCCCCAGACAGCAAGAAGGCACCTGACCCTGTGGAAGCCCATTATACTGAACACTGCTGATTACTAGGATTTTAGAGAGTACTTGTACCCAGGAAACATGAGGGAAGATGTTTAGCTCTTTTGGGGTCTGAAAGACCACATGTCATATATCTAGAAGAATCTCATTTCGGTCAGTATTATTGTTGTCTTTAAAGTTGATTTATTAAATATGATTTCATTTTTATAACTTGAAGATGGTCTTTTTGTGGAAATATATTAGTCAGTGATAAGCCTTTTTCAGAACATTTTTGACACAGAAAAACAAATATGGCCATGACATCTATGTATAGGGATTATGTTTTATGAATATTAAACTACTTGCTCAAAATCTACCATCTCTTACATCTGTACAAAAATATATTTTTAAAATTATTTTATTTTCTCTTTTTAAAAAATATTTATTTATTTTTGGCTGCATTGGGTCTTCGTTGCTGCATGCAGGCTTTCTCTAGTTGCAGAGAGCAGGGGCTACTCTTCGCTGCTGTGCACGGGCTTCTCATTGTGGTGGCTTCTCTTGTTGCAGAGCACGGCCTCTAGGCACGCAGGCTCAGTAGTTGTGGCACACGGGCTCAGTAGTTGTGGTTCACGGGCTCTAGAGCGCAGGCTCAGTAACTGTGGTGCACAGTCCTAGTTGCTCCGCAGCATGTGGGATCTTCCTGGACCAGGGCTCGAACCTGTGTCCTCTGCATTGGCAGGCGGATTCTTAACCACTGCACCACCAGGGAAGCCCTGTACAAATATATTTTTCCAGGTTGTGTATTACTTTTCTACAAATTTCCACAAACATAGTGGCTGAAAACAATACAAATTTATTAGCTTGCAGTCTTGAAGGTCGGAAGTCCAAAATGGGTCTTTCTGAGCTGAAATCAAAGTGTCAGCAGGGCTGCATTCCTTTCTGGGGGCTCTAGGGCTTCCTTTCCCTTTCTAGCTTCTGGAACCCACCCACATTCCTTGGCACATGGTCCCTTCCTCTGTCTGCAGAGCCAGCAGCGTGGAGCCAAGTTCCCATACTGCCGTCTGTCTGGTTCTGTCTCTGAATCCTTTTTCCACATTCAGGGGTCATCGTGATTACATTGGGCCCACCCAAATAATGCAGGATAATCTCTCTATTTTAAAGTCATCCGATTAGCCACCTTAATTCCATTTTCCACCCTAATTCCGTTTTGTTGTGTAAGGTAACATATTCACAGTTTCTAGGGATTGGGATGGGAACATCTGTAGGAACATCCATTATTCTGCCCACCATAGGTGGAAATGCTTTCATTTTAAAATTGTGATTATAAGCAACCATACTCCAATAAAAATTAATTTAAAAAAATCTTAAAAACAACAAACAAAAATAAATAAATAAAATTGTGATTATATATACTCTGAATCTCTAAATTGAAACTCTGTGTTGAGTTACTTTAAAAGGGAAGGGGCAACGACTAATTGCTTAGAACTAAGTTGTTATCTCCACCTTGCCTTGATATCTTTAAATACATCATGAATTGTCTGTTTCACGTTCTTTTTCTATACATTAAAGCCATTACTTGTTACTTGCCAAAAATGACTACTATTTGAGAGTTAAATTCAATCAAGATTTGAATTATCTCTTTTAAGATCATCTCTTTAGATTAAGAATCTGTGTATATCTTAAACCCTGAAGACTTCTTATACTTTATAAATTTAAATAAGTTATAAAATGAAATAATAATGCATTTATACATTACTTCTTAGGTTATTTAGCAGCTAATCCAAGATTTGGATCATTGCCTAAAGTTGCACGTAAGTCATAAAAGGAAAAAAAAAAGTTTCATTTTTTGAGCTTCCCTGGTGGCGCAGTGGTTGAGAGTCCGCCTGCCGATGCAGGGGACACGGGTTCGTGCCCCGGTCCGGGAGGATCCCACATGGCGCGGAGTGGCTGGGCCTGTGAGCCATGGCCACTGAGCCTGTGCGTCCGGAGCCTGTGCTCCGCAACGGGAGAGGACAAAAAAATGTTTCATTTTTTAAAAAGAAGATGTTTGTAGCAACTGGAGATAGGAATGTCCAGGTTAACCAAATTGCCTGTATTGACTCTCTGAAAAACCAGTCTCCATTTTTTTGCCACCTTGCAGTTTTTAGTTCGTTTGATACTTTCTGATGGGAAGCAGAGCAGTAGGGACTTCACCTTAGTCCTCTAAAGCATGAACTAGGAGGGCCTGGCAGGATAACAAGAGGACATCAACAGCAGAGTCTGAATGATAGCTCCATGAGAGATTTTAATTTTCTTCTTTTGGCCAGTCTTTTCCAAATATTTTCTATAACGGACGTAACAAATGAATAGTTTTTTTAAATCAGGGCTTTCTAATAGTACATTTACCATAAACGTAGGGTTTCACCTTCTTATACTGGTTATCCATAGACCTTTTACGTACACAGAGGACGTATTCCGGTTTACGACCTGAAACCTTATTCCCAGCAAGAATAGCAGGTTGAAAATGTCTTCCATGGTTCTGCCTCGTGACCTTCCTCCCTGACATGCAAGATGGACTGCAGCTCCCCATACTCCGATCCATAAAGAAAATTAAGGGGCTCTCCTACCCCGTGATTTGGAGGCTACCTAGAGCCACAACCCAAGTCCCATCTCTCCCTCCCATGGCTTCAGAGATCTGTTTGCCAGTTGGGCCTCCCTCTGGCTGCCCCTGTCTGGGCATCACCCTTGCTTGCTCTATCCCAGCCCTTCTACCTCCAGTTCAAAACTGAGGAGATCAAAAGTCTCCAGTTCCCAATACTGCTCTTTAATAGGGAACTTCATTCCCAGAGATTTTGTTCATTGATTCATCAGGGTACTTTTGATATAAGAATTATTGCTGTTAATAAAGTTCGAGAAGACCATTAATGGAGGAGATTCCAAACCTTTAAATTATTTATCTTTCCTAACCTGCTCTTACAGTTGCTGGTATCTTGGGATTTGGCCTTGGAAAGGCATCATACATAAGAGTATGCCAGAGTAAATTCCATTCCTTTGAAGGTCAGCTGCGTGGGGCTGGTTTTGGTCCAGGGCATAACAGGTTTGTACTCTGCTTTTTTGGGGTTTTTAAAATAAATATATTTATTTATTTTTGGCCGCGTTGGGTCTTCGTTGCTGCGCACAGGCTTTCTCTAGTTGCGGCGAGTGGGGGCTACTCTTTGTTGCAGTGTGCGGGCTTCTCATTGCAGTAGCTTCTCTTGTTGCGGAGCACGGGCTGTAGGCACACGAGCTCAGTAGTTGTGGCTCGTGGGCTCTAGAGCACAGGCTCAGTAGTTGTGGCACATGGGCTCAGTAGTCGTGGCGCACGGGCTTAGTTGCTCTGCGGCATGTGGGATCTTCCCGGACTAGGGCTTGAACCTGTGTCCCCTGCATTGGCAGGTGGATTCTTAACCACTGCACCGCCAGGGAAGCCCTGTACTCTGTTTGATTAAGGGATTATAATAAAGATAATTATTAAAAAGTAAATGAAAGATCATTCACCATTTACAATATTAAAATAGTTTTTAACATTCATATGTTGAAAAAAACTCAAAGTTTGAGTTGTTGCTATTCAACTTCAATAATAATTATGATTTATCTGGGTTACCTATTTCATTTGCTCACCAAACATTTAGTAAGTACCTACTATGTTCAAAGCATTGTACAAGTCTCTAAAGAATGCCTTGATCAGCAGACAGCTTCTACCGTCACGGGGTTACGCAAATTTAACCAGGGCTCTTGACTGCAGGACTTCTCAGAGCCTTTACTATATTAATATAAATCATGATTCTCATTAGGGGATACAAGCAGTAGGACTGTGGAGTAAGTGGCATTACCTCTGCTGTTAAGAGTCGCTGGGATCAAAGGGGGTTCTAACTGCTAACTTACTAAGCTGCGTAACCTTGGACAAGTTTCTTAAACTCTCAAATCTTCAGTTTTCTCATTTGTATAATATGGTGATCAGAATTTTTTTCATGGGATGGTGTAAGGAATAGAAATGATTGTTCATGACACTCAGTGAGAGCTCAGTAAATAATAGCTATTTCTACCATGGTATTATAAGACTAGCGTTGGGGACACGTTTCTCTAAAGAGCCCTTACTTGTCACAGTGGATTCTGTTTGAGATGCAGCACAACATGGTGAAAACAACATTGGACAGGAAAATCATTAATGGCCTTTTTGTGGAAGAAATTCGGGGAGTCTGAAACCAAGAAACAGCTCTGATAATTCCTGAAAAATATTAGGCTTGAGAACTTTAGCATAGAAAATACCTCTAAATAATCTAAAATATGATACAAATGAATTTATTTACAAAACAGAAACAGACTTACAGACATAGAAAACAAATTTATGGTAACCAAAGGGGAAAGGGGGCGGGGATAAATTGGGAGTTTGGGATTCACAGATACACACTACTATATATAAAATAGATAAACAACAAGGTCTTACTGTATAGCACAGGGAACTATATTCAATATCCTGTAATAAATCATAATGGAAAAGAATATGAAAAAGAATATATATAAACGTATGTATACATATAACTGAATCACTTTGCTGTACTCCAGAAACTAACACAACATTGTAAATTAGCTATACATCAATTAAAACTTTTAAAAAAATCTCTAAATAATGTTGTGTTCAGACTAGAGCTTCCAGGGTCAAACCAACATTTTTGCTTCTATTTTAGTACAAACCAACATTTTTGCTTCTATTTTAGGCACTGCCTGCTTACCTGTGAGGAATGCAAAACAAAGCATGGATTAAATAAGGAGGGAAGTTCACAGCCTTCGACTTCCTAAACTCTGTCTGTGGGTTTTCAAGTTTCCAAAAACATCTGAATTTGTACACCTTTAAAATGTCAAATGTACTTTAAAATAATTTACTTATAGTAGAACAGAAACATTGTGATTCTCTCACTCTATTGAAATGCTTTCGCCGGTTGATTCTCCATTGAATTGAGCATTCCATGTTTTTCTGTTGTTTAAGAACATGTTGGGAGCATTCATACACCAAAAGAAATTCTGTTGCAGTCTTACTTGCTTACAGTTAAATAAAAGAATTTAGAGTCTTCTCTGATTCACCCCATCCATTCTTTCACTCTGCTTTTGTTCAGGGTTTTAAGATCCCTGATGGAGGATAGGAATGAATGTTGAGGAGCTTGAGAATCATGGCCCAGTGTGTATGTGTGGAGGTAGAAATACAGGGCAAGAAAGACTGTGACTATGGGAAGTGCTTTCTAAAATGTAGGGGCCAAGATTTTTTAATGAAAAATGGTTCATTTTAAAGAGTCACAATATGAATCAACTGTCCTTTTTTTTTTTTTTTTTGGCTGTGTTGGGTCTTCATTTCTGTGCGAGGGCTTTCTCTAGTTGTGGCAAGCGGCGGCGGGGGGGCACTTTTCATCGCGGTGCGCGGGCCTCTCACTATCGCGGCCTCTCTTTTTGTGGAGCACAGGCTCCAGACGCGCAGGCTCAGTAGTTGTGGCTCACGGGCCCAGCCGCTCTGCGGCATGTGGGATCTTCCCAGACCAGGGCTCGAACCCGTGTCCCCTGCATTAGCAGGCAGATTCTCAACCACTGCGCCGCCAGGGAAGCCCCCTCAACTGTCCTTTTGATGACCTCGGTGACTTTATGTCTCCTCGGTATGGTGAAGTTTTAGAAGAGCCCATTGTTTTAGGTTCCTTGCTTAGCTAATGGATATATGCTCATGGTCAGCTCTCAAGAACTGCGTTCTTTTATATTCTGCTGGTGGCCTAAAAGAATAAACACAACTTCCCAAAATGTCCCTCAGGAACAGTTTACGTAATTCTGGGAGGACTCACTGGAAGAATTAATTCAGAGAATGATAAACTTCAGGGCTTTAAGGGAGCTCAGAGGCTGCCAATCCAACCCCAAGAGTTGCATTCCTCTTCTCCTGCCAGGTTTTTTGCATGAAAACAAACTCTTCCACTGGGGACCTTTTGTCTTTATGACAGATTGTCTGAGCCCTACATGAAAACTTCTCTTGCATCTTTGCATTTTCTCAGGAAAACACTTTATATATGTGTCACCATTTATATACTGGGGGTGTGTGTGTACTCGTTTGCATTTTACTTACATCTTGAAACCTGTACCAAGGAGGTAAAAAGGGAAACCTCATTGAAAGTTAATGCTTGATATATATTTTATTTTCTGTATCAAAAATATTTGGAAGTTTTTATTTTTACATGAACATTATGTGTATGAAATGGAATAATTTTGACCAAGTCTCTTTTTATGTTACCTATCCTGGTGTTTTTCCGTCGATAAAGTTCTATTTCTGTAAATCAGAACGCAGAGCCAATATCCTAGCATCTTGGATGCAGTTTAACTTCTGGCTCCAACGACTAGCAATTGGTGACTCTGTGTTATCTCAGCTATTGCAGACATTCAGAATTGGGCACTTTTATTTCCTGCGTTCCGGAAGATGATTTCCCAGGGATCAGAACATTTTCACATTGATAAGCACAGCAAGTCAGTGTTAAAACCCTTCTTGGGGTAGTGGGGAAAGATGAATCTATTATTGTTAAAAGGGAACATTGTTTTTAAGTGCTGACATCTTCATAGTCATTCTGACTCCAATTGGGTTTATGGTTTGGGCTCTCTGATTTTCCTAAGTGGATAAGTTTTTATTAAAGCAGTTTATCGCAGTGATCGTAGTGCGAAAGAAAATCAGTCAAGGAAAAAAACCTGGAAGGTCACCCAAGAAGTCTTGAATATTCTGCTGCATTATCTGTTGTATATATTAGGAAGCAGGTATCTGAGGGAGAATGTCTGTTTTTCCAGGAAGACATGCTAAAGGAGCAGCATCTATTTGTCTGTTAGCATTTAGCAGTTACCAGCACCCATCCCCAAGGTGGTCATAAGTTTATAAAAGCAGTACTTCCATGATAAAAAAAAAAAAAAACCTTGGCAAAGAACAAGAAAAAATTGTAAAAAAAATAAAAAAAAATAAAAAAACTAAAAAAAAAAAAAAAAGAAAGAAAGAAAGAACTGATGAGACTACATGGTAAACGTTGGATGTCTAACCAACTTCCCTGGCAAAACTCCTTATTCCTTGTTGGACTGATGTTCAAGAATGAAGAAAATGGAAAATATTCTATTATTTTACATTTGGTTAATGGAATTTAAAGTGTAACATTTGGCTACTTTATCCCTGGATGTACCTATAAGAAGAGACAAACTCGATATCTAAAATAAGTCTTGTCCTGCATTTGTACTTTACCTAGACAACATTGTAAAATGTTCTTAACAGTGAAGAATGGCACTAATAAGAGTAAGGATGAGCCTTATCCAACCAGAAAACAACATCGAAGTGGTTTATTTTAATTCCATGTGACACTCCAGTGATGCCAGAAGTGTGTTTCTGTCTTGGGTTCCTTATGAACAGATGACTAGAAAGGATTCTGTCAAGATATTTTAAATTCTGAGACATTGCTCAAACGTTCCCCCCACTGTTAGCTAAGGTGACCATTTGTTTCTAAATTTTGCGTCTCTGTGATCCTGGAGTTCAAAAGTTATTGCTGGAGTTACACTATATTCTGCATGAAATACACAGTTCACAATTTAAAAAAATAGTAGCAAAATCCTTTTATGTCTGATTCATTTACCAAAATAGATCAGAATTTCCAATATATGTTATATATTATCTATGTGTAACTATATATAATGATGTAATGTATATGATGCTAATATATATATATATATTTTTACATCTTTATTGGAGTATAATTGCTTTACGATGGTGTGTTAGTTTCTGCTTTATAACAAAGTGAATCAGTTATACATATATTCCCATATCTCTTCCCTCTTACTATGCTAATATATTTTTAAAATCCTCATTTAAGCAAAGACATTCTCTTCCCATACTGTCAGAATAATTTTTCTATTTTCTGTTAACATTATGACAGTAATAATATTTATATTGAATGACTTGATTAAGTAATGAAAGTGTCATTGTAGGTAATTTTCTTGATATTCAAATAATGCAATTTGTTAATCAACAGAAAAATTTTCCACTGTGGAACTCTGCACCCAAATTTCAACTACAGAATTTGATTTCATAGACATTTAAAGTTGGTAGAGATTTCAGTGATTAACCCAGAGGCTACAAAGTCCAGGACCAGACAGTGTAACTGAGTGAAGCTGCACCAGTGGCATATTAAACACCAGTGTAGTCCTCACTTCCACACACACCAATACGTGGGCCCACTGTTGTCAAATCTTCCAATTTTTCAAAACAAACAAGTGCAGGTTTTTGTGTGAAATGTCCTGGTTTAAATGTTCAACAATTGAGTGCCCACTCTGTGCCAGGCCCTGTCCTAGGTCCTGGGAATGTAACAGTGAACACAACCAACAAAATTCCATCTCCCTGGAGCTTATATTCTCATCACCAGTTTGTGGCATGAGAGCCAACCCAACCTCTGTGGAAATCGCCTAACTGTGGAAATCGCCTTTGTTGTCTGGGCAGGTGAGTTTCGGGACCTACATGTGTACTTCCAGGGGAAGGCCCCCTGCTGCTTCACGTGCAACCTAGTACACTGCCCAGAAGCTAACCTCTTCAGAAAGGTCTGGGGGAGCCCAGGGTTCCCTCCCTCACCATCTGGACTGGGAGCTCCTCCGGGACAGGAAGTATATCTTTTTTTTTTTTTAAACTTATCTCTCAGTCTTCAGCCCCAGGAGCGTTCATGGCCAGATATAGGCACTCTGTAAATGTCTGTCAACCTAAACCTGTAATTTCCCTGTAACAACAAAACAGAATTCTTAGTCTTCTTTCACATAATAGCTTTTAAATATTGCAAGGCATGTTTCTTTCAGAATTCTGGCTAAAGAGCCCCAGTTTTTTCAACCACTGGAGTGAGTTTCCAGCCCTATCACATCCTGGTCTTGGGACACCCTTTGGTTTGTGGTGTCCTCACACACAGCAACACCCCAGAAATGGATTGACCAGTTCAGAGAGCAGGATTAAACAGGCTTATTGTTTCAGGCAGCTGAACTGAAAACAAGAGTGGTTCTGTGTCCAGCCCTGTGCTCAAATTCAGGCTCCACTACTTACTGGCCACCTGACATTCCGTCAGTTATTTATCTGCCCTGGGCCTCAATTTCCTCATCCATAAAATGGAAATAGACTTACCTGACAGGTTGCGCATGAGAAGTAAACGAGCTAATACCTATAAAGTGCTTAGAACAGTGCGTGGCTCAGAGTAACCGTTCAATGTGTAACCGAGCAGGACTCTATGGGGCCTTTCCAGGAAAGACTTCTTCATGTCCTGCCTCTTGTTTGTAGAAAAACTTTAGCCTCCTAGGCCTTCCCTGAGTTACAAAGAATAAATTTAATCAGAGAAGTGAGAAAATGCAGAAACAAAGGAAAACGGTCAAGCAAGACAAAATAATAGTTGTACCATTAAAGTCAAGGACCTTTAGTTCCTCCTCAAGGGCTGTAGACAGTATTCTGAGCCACGTCCTTTGAGCTGTTTTGCAGATACTAAGACCCCACCAGGTGGAAGGAGTTAACTGCATGCTGACCACAAGCACATAGACCCCAGATGGGTTGGAAGCAGAAGGTTGATGATGTGGACTTCCGATTACCTCACCACCAATCAGGCTGAGTAAGATCTCCGCCTGTCCACGCCATGATGGTTCCAACTGCTTCTGACACAGATGCCAAAGGACCACACAGGGGTAGAAAAGAGGTGGCGCCCCAGTTCCAGGAAGACCCTGCCTATTTCCAGAAAAGCACTGCATATGCCTCCCCTCATTAACCTTGTCCTTAAAATCTTACCTCAGTCGTCCCCTGGGTAAGAAGTTGATTTATGACATAAGTTCCCAAGTCTCTATTCTCTGGCCATTGAATAAAGCTTTGATCTCAGCTTCGACCTCATTTTTGGCTGCATGAACCCCAACAGAAAAAGAACCTTCCCCACTGAGGCAGGGGCCTGGGCTGGGCTAGGGCCCAAGTGCAGTCCATACAACCTAATTTGGTAACAAATGGATATTAGCTATGATGACTACTACTGCTGTAGTCCAAATGTCTGCAATTGTGTCACACTTTTGGCCCCT